TTCAGTTAATAAATTACATTGTGTTGCATTATCCACTAACATTGTGTACTCTGTCTGACAAGCTGTAATAAAAATGTACAGAGAAAAGATTTGAATATAAATATACCAGTATAATGAAGCCTGAGTTTTTGTGCAATTACCTTTACTATGACCTAAAGGTCTGGCCTGCAGCTTTACACTCTTGTACTTCTTTTCGGCCAATGACTGATCATCTTTCAATTCCTATTAATTTGACATGAAATAAATGAAAAGAAAATATTTATCTCAGGCCTTCAGCAGAAAGTATGCATTTTTTTGGATGACCACTTACTTTGAGAAGATTTTCTATGTTATTGTTATTGATTGATGGCGGAGATGAGATTGATGAACTMTCAGTTGTTTGTACTTCAATGTTTTCAGTGCATTGGGAATATGGCTCCTTAATAATATCTTCTAATGTCTAGTAGAAACAAATGAATTTAAGCTGAAACAAGTGTTTGAAAATCTATTAAATAAGTCGAGTTAAAAGTCACCAATTAATTAATATTTTTACCCTATGTCTTTCTCTCTTTTCATATGCAGTTCGAGTTTGAGATAGTGGTGCTTTAACTGCTTGTGAGATTGCATGCACCGTTGGAACTGCGTCAGGTTTCAGTCGATTTCTAGAGCAAGAAAAAAAATGCTTGTTAAAAAATTGCATATATAGAAGTACTGCAAGTATTCCCAAACTAATCGTTTTTTTGTAAAAAGAGATTTTTACTTACTGTCCTTGATATCCAAACGTCTTTTTGATGTCATTATCAATGTAGTCGGACTGAAGAAAATGCAGGCTACAGAGGTAGCTATACGTTGTACATTGCCAGTTTTGTCTTCTAGTTTTTACAAAATTTTCCCACTGTTTTCTTATTTTAGGTTCCTTTGGAAACTTATGAATACTTATATTGGCTTTTGACTGCGAACTGCAGCCGTGGGCCACACAGCGCTTTGTCATAGCTATCTTTTCTTGTTCATATTTTCCCGCCACCGGCCTTGGAGAGAAGAGCCGTGTTCCACCCGTGACGTCACATCCGGTATGGCGGGTTCACCGAGCGAATTTCGCGATGACAAGTTTTCGGCTTCTCATTTTCTTAGTTTAAAAGATTTTTCTTTATTTTTTTTTGCAATGCAGCAATTATTTACAAGGTAAGGAACATTTAAATAGGGTATTTTACAGAAAGTTTTTGGGGTTCGGTCTATGGCGCTTGGACTTTAA